ATTGGCAACTGTTTTCTAAGGTGGCCGTATAATTTACATCTCTGTCAACAATGCCATGAGAGTTCTAGTGCCCAGAGTCCTTGCCAGCGTTTTACACTGTTAGTCTACAAATTCGGGGCCTCATAATCAGATTCTGTCACATGATCAAGCCTCTATTCCATGAAGTATTCACGTCCACACAGGTGCTCCTCCACTTACTGTGAGATTATATCTCAACAAATCCCTCATCATTGCAAACAGAAGTCCAAGATGCACTTAATGCATCTAACCTACTTTAGCCTGGCATACCCTAAGGTAGGTGGGCTCAGCACACTTACATTAGCCTACAGTTGGACAAAACTCTAACATGAGATGTGTTTCATAAAGTGTCGGGCATCTCATGTGATTTACCTACCGTATTCTGTACTGAGAGTGAGACATGAATTGTTCTATGGGGCTTCTGGATCATCTTGACCTCCCAGCTGGGTCAGTGCCAATTAGAGAAGGACTTGAGGCTGCTGGTTGGACCCCTCCCCATCCGTGTGATGCTTTTCACCCGCAACAATTCTGCAAGAGGGCCCTCAACATGCCAGCCCCTCCATTTCTAGAATTGCAAGAAATACATTTTTCTCTATAACTTATCGAGTCTCTCATAACCTGTAACAGCAGCACAAAACAGAATGAGATGCAACTCTGTCACTAATGTTTCACTTTATTATATAGGTCACCTCCTTTCTGTTTCCCATTTTCTAGACCAGCAGCAAATGTCATGAGTCTCTTAGGGCAACTTGTACTCATCTTGGTACAAAAAAACTGTCAACTTGTCCTTTTGGGATGTTGGCTTTTGATTGTACTTTAGATATGCTTTTGTTCACAATGCTCTATTTTCTTCTAGTGTGTTTATAGTTTTGTATTTCATGTATACAATTTTAATATAGATAAAATTAATTTTGGTATAAATTATGTGTGTGTGCAGGAAACATAATTATACAATTTCTAACTGACAAGTGGGTGTTTTTCTACAGGAAAACTGGTTGGTCTGGCATAAGGGTAGCAGTATATTTATTTTTCAATGACTATCTGTACCCTATTCATGTGAAATCTACCACAAAGTCACTGAAGTAATTAGATTATTGGCTGTTATGAGGAAGTATTAGGAAAGATGTTTCCCCCAGGGCAGGCTGAATGTCACCTGGCAGGATCAGGGAACTAGTGTGGTCAGGTCTTCCTCTTTTCCGAAGGAAGCTGAAATCTGAATTTTCATGCCAAATCCCCAGATGTTTAAACATTGGCAACTAATGCAAGGTTTTGGAAACACTGGGCAGGCCAAACAAAACACATCTGCAGGCCAGATGTTGGTGCCTGTGTGAGACCTATGGTTTAGACACATCTTCCTCTTACTCAAAGATTCATTTATGCATCTCTTCCGGGCCTTCTGCAGTACAGCATCTGCAGCTCTTATCAATGTATTCTCACTGAACGCACTGGCCTAGGTTTCCACTGAACTAGAGGAGCCCTGAAGGAATACACACAGATTCAAGGCCCTGTCCCAGTAGACATCTAATATCAACATGTGTTGAGTGAATAAGTGGGTGAATGAATGAACTCGGCTCCAAATTGACCTCTGCTCTGAAGAACTGGACAGGTGGCTCAGGTTAGAGGTTACCTGGTTGGATGGCTTCCCCTTCTAGTCCCACCTCAAGTCTCTCAGTGTATCCCGCAGTGTTTTGTTTCCAGGTGGCCTCTCCTACACTGTGAATTAAGCCCACTAGATGTCGCCCTTTGCTCAAGGGACATCCAGCGGTATGGCGCTGAGCCCGAGCTTTGCTGCCAAGAAGCAAGGCGTAAGAGTATCTTTATCTCGGGCCACGTGGTCGTCAGGTGGCTGTCATGAGGAAGCGGAGCACAGCCACAGAGTCACAGAAGGCGCCAGGGTCAGAGCCTGACTTATTTGTTCTGTGACCCACAGGAATGCCCTCTGCCTGTGCCGGGTGAGGCTGGGGGTTTTAGCCTCTTACTCAGCAGGTGCTCAAAGACTTGCTCGTCTCCAGACCCTCAGGAGGGTCAGGTGGCACGAGGGAAAGCCTTCATGTATTTTATAGCACACACTTTCTGTCCTCTGTTATCAATCACATTTGAACCCTTCACATTCTGAAACCATCAAGGCAGTAGGTGGCGCCCTGCCCGGCTCTGCCAGGTTTACCCAGGGCTGGAATTTAATGACCCTGGAAGCTTCTCAGTTGGGTGAACCAGAATGGAGGGTTCTACGGGTTCAGTGGCTTCCAGTGTGCGATGGAAGATCCAGATGGTGAGAATGCTCCTTCTCACGACAGCTGGCTTTGCTTGCACCTTTTTTGGGATTATTTAGTGTGTGTTTTTCTTGACCCCTTTTAGAACCAGCTGAGAAGGAGATAGCAAAGCAGACTTTGCAGCCAGGCTGGGTTGCTTTCTGGCTTGCTGTTTACTTCCTTGCTTGCTCTGTGCCCCAACTTCCTCATCTGTGAGTGGCCTCCCAGGGCTGCGGAGGGAACAAGCCATCATGGACACAGCTCAGGACAAGACAGTTCCCAGAACCCAGCCAGTGCTCAGGACGCTGGCCTATCCAGGTGCCAGGTTCATCTCCTCCTTCGGTTTTCTGTAGTCACCTTGTCTTCCACGTGGCTGTCCTTGTCACTCGGATGATATGGTACAGATTTTCCAGTTCTGTGAACACTTCCTTTGTTTTAATGTTCAATAACAATACAATGACTACACAGTGCCTATCCCTCAAAAACAAGTGTCTCTAAATCACACTGACCAAGGCTTCTCTAACGTTCCTCACTGCCTTTGCCAAAGTGCTAGTTGTGAGAGTTCAGAGCCTTCTCCAGCTCTGTGGAAGTCTTAGCATACTTGCCAGGAAAACCTCACTGTAATGTACATTGTATATCCAACTCATCCCCTCTCTAAGATCCAGTTTAAAAAAAAATAATTATACTGAAATATTTTTTACTGTCCTCAAACCTTTTGAAATGATGAGATAAACCCTCCAGCAAGTGCCAGGTCTTTCACCCTCGTGTGTCACTCGAGTGTGCTATTGGTATCCACAGCCCTAGGTGAGTGCCTCTGAGAGCCAGCTCAGGGATACCCAGCCCTCTGACAAAGGCATGCACCATTGGGCTGTCCTATGGAGTTCATGTCTTTCCCTGGTCCACCTGCGATCTGCTAATTTAGTTATTGCCTCCTACCCCTCAGCACTCAGAGAAATTATGTTTATGTTACATTTTAGAGAACTCCTTCCAGTAATAGGATTCTGTTTGCCATTTCCTTTTCCCCGGGGCTCAGGTTTGTGGCTGTGTTTCTATGACCTTGTCCTTTTGCTGGGAAACCAGGCAAGCAGACTCTTACCAGAACCAGCAGACTGGGCAGATGAAGGAAGAAGGCTGGAGCTCTTCCTCAGCCCTGGGTTTTCCTTCTTATTCTTCTGCTTCTGTGTATTTCAGAGTCACCGAGGCTGAGGTCAGCAAAGAAAAGGTTTCAGTGGACCAGATGGACCAGGACACTTTTGTTTAGCTGGCTCTGTGTGCCCGGTGAATGCCTTGTTTCTGCCTCATGGCTCTTGTGTGACATTTGGCAGCAGATGGAGCATTACAATCAGATGAGAGGGGCAGCCTTTCCTCGGCTTGGCTCCTGCAGGAGGTCTGCTTGGCTTTGGGCTGTTCGGTAAGGACAGGTCCCAAAGCCACAGTGCTCAACCCCATGCCTTCCTTTCGAATGGTCCTTTGCAGCTGCATGGGTCAGGCGCTCTCCAGCCTAACCAGGAAGTACTGAGGAATCTGGCACTGTGCCTGTTAATAGATTCTAGCAGGAAACTAGAAGAGATTATGGTGGCTTACTGGTGAGTCACCAGCTTCAAAGAGACCCTATTTATGAACTGAAATATCGGATGCACAGTAACCTTCTTCTATTAAATATGGGAAGGCATGCATTCATGTGATTAGATTCAGATTTTCTCCAAGCCAATGCACTCCTGGCATCATTGACGCCTACTGTTTGTTTTATTTTCTAGTCACTGCTAAGATGTTTTGGACTAGTAACAAACTGCAGGGCTCCCTTCAGGTCTGAGGGACAAATTCCAGCCCCTAGGGAACTGCTGGGTTTCCATGACAAGAAGAGCAGAAGGTGAGAAACATGGTTTCCATCTGAGCTCCTGGCCCTCCTCATGCCCAGCTCCACACCCACTGACGTCTTGTGTACCCGTCTACTGCTTCCTCTTTATAAAGCTGAAATCAAGGGGGTTTTTTTGTTGTTGTTGTTGTTTTGGTACCAGTGATGGAACTTGGGTCCTTGTGCTTGCGCAGCAGGTGGCGAAACCACTGAGCTAAATCCCTGGCCCTTGCTGCTTCCTCTTTATATGTTTTATTACTATTTTTCTTTGTGCCTTTGTAAGTCCCTCAAGTTGTTGGAAGAATGTGGAGTGCTTGCTGGAAGCCACATAAAATAATACGTTGATTGGATTCAGAGACATCCTTTCCTTCCTTTCTGGTGACATCTGTGAGAATTAATGCATCCTTGCCCCTGTCAGTCCACAATAGAAGGTAATTATCTAGCTGATTTTAGACCTGGTTGTGAGCATCTGCAGCTGCCTTGTCCAAAAGTGAGTTAGAAGTCGATGTAACCCATGATGTAACTTGACCTTCCATGGTTTCCAGATCGGACGGCTCCGGAAATCAATCCTCAGTAAAGAAGTTAATCGGATTCAGCTCAAGGCTTTCTAAGGACAACAGAACGTGGGAAACACTCATCCCCAGTACCTGCCCGGGGTCTCGTGGCCAGCGCCCCCTTCTTTCTGCCCCACCCAGTGGCACCTTATCTGGGAGAGGAACAAGGGATTCCTCAGCCTGGGGTGGCAGTGGGGGAAGTTGGGAAAGGGCCGCCCCTCCTCCACCTCCTGGCCGCTCTCCCACGCAAAGGCCACATTCCTGGGCTCTACAGGCGTGACTGCGACCAGCGAAGGACTTCAGGGCTGTGCCCGGTGGCTGCACACTAAGCTGCCCTGGGCAGAGCGTTCTGCTTTCCCCTGAGCAGTGTCTCTCCTGAGATCTCAGACACTAGCGTCCACCACTGCTGGGAGGACCCTCGAGTCCTGGTCACTGCTCCTTCCCCTCCCCAGCCCTTAGGGGAGGGAGATTTGGAGGAAAAAACTCTCTTCCTTCTCAGAGGGGTGTGTCCTGGCCTGGGCCGTGGGCCAAGGCACCAACTCATGCCCAGCCACGGGGATTCAGTGCATGGTGTGGCTGCCCCAACACCACACACACCTGTGTGCAAACAGAACAAGCTGTGTTCCCACCAGCAGCGTACCTTCGAAGGGCACTGCATAGAGGGCTGCAGTGTATGGAGAGGAGCCTGAAGGTAAGCAATAGCTGGGGTGTGACTCCTTGGATTGCAGGGTGCTGTCACCAGGGCTGCTTGCTAGTCCTCCAGGGACTGAATTCTGATTCAGTATCTCATTTCCTAAAGAAGGTTACAGAGGCATGGAGGCAGGAAAGTGGTGAGTAGAAATGACAGTGTGTAACTTGGGGGCTCTGCTGGGACCAAAACCTGGTTCTCTAACCCCAAAAGCACAGCTCCTGTCAGGGAGGATGCAGGCTGTGGTCTCTGGTGGCCAGGGAGGGGACAGTAATGAGGATGCCTTATGGGCATCTGCGAAAACCACCAGCCATGCAGTGACCACTGATTAGACTTGGCACTCAAACCACAACGATCTCCAGAGTCCTGTGTGACCACGTTCATTCCTTAATTCTCTTCAGGGTGAATTCCTTCAAGCTCTGCCTGCACCCTGTTAGCCCCAGGATTTCCCAGCTTAACCCCTTCTCAGCCTCTAGAAAATCCAAATGTCAACTCTCATGACCACTTCCCCTGCTCCTCGCTATGTACTTCATGGTTCCCCCCGCTTTTCTCCTTCTTCATAAAAAATCCACTTATGTAAACGTGACTTACCATGTCACCCCCTCCCTCAGAGACCGGTGATGGGGAGCTGCAGAAACAGGCAAGAGGGGTCACACACAGTTCCCTGCTATGTCCTGGTCCCCAATGTTCTGGTTCCCACTATGTCCTGGTGAGTGCGCCAAGCCACAGGCTGGGCATGGCAGAGACAGGAACCACACAGATAGACGAAAGCATATCCTGCGGCTTATCAGGTTATTAGTTAAGCCGTTGGTCATATTCCTTTTTCCCATGAAAAGAAAAACCATCTCAACCATCACCAAAATGAATAGCCCGTGACCAAGCCCTAAGGTCCAAGCTCTGTGAAGAGCTCCTAAGACACAATTCTTCAGAGAAAGATGCCTCTGCCCATACGAAACTTAGAACAGCGACGTAAGCATCTGAAAAAAGGGCTTCATTTTGCTAAAAATCAGACACAAAAATTAAAGCAATATGAAAGCATTTTTGCTTAACTGTCTGTCAACAGCAAGAAGAGGGAGAGGGCAGGGTGACCTAGCAGGCATTTCCACACCTGTCAGTGTGCAGAACTGGTATGGCCAGGGGCCCACTGGCCATGTCATCAGAGCTCAAGATCTGTGAGTTTCTCCAACCCAGAGGAAGCCTGCCTGACTGGATTGGGGTCAGGAGAGGGAGTTCAGCACAAGGGACACTGGAGGGCACCCTGGGAGTTCGCAGAGTCAAGGTACCCAGGTTGCACTTCAGGCTGCTCCCAGCGTGGAGCCCTGCGGGTGTCCTGGTGAACCGGATGTGATATTTTCAGGGCAGCTGGTTTTGCATCTAGAAAAATCATTTAGGGAATTTGATTGAAAAACTTGCTTTTACTCATTAGGAAATTGTGGTGAAAATACTATTCCTATGTATAATGCTACTTTAAAAAGAATGAGTAGTTTTGGGTAGATTTGCAACAATTAAGCTTTATCAGCACGGTGATGAATGAGAAGCCATGTCCATTTGCTCGAGGAGAGAGATTGCCACAACCGTACTGACCCTTTTTGATTCGAAACACGTATCCTTCCTTTGCCCAAATAGGAGGAAGGGACCATAGGGAAGGGTGGAAATGAAGATCAAAAATGATCAAGGTTTATATACATATAAATTTCCCCAAATAAATATAATTGTTACGGATACAAACATACCAAGAAAAAATTGAGTCATCATGCCTTTTTTCCATACTTCTCTGAGAAGATCTCTGCAGACGAGCCATAGCCCTTACCCTGTCTCGTCCTTGGACCTGAGAGCAGAGCTTGGGCAGTGGCGGGGATGGCAGAGGCAGCTGGAAGCTCGAAGTGCACCTGGAAGCCAGGTGAGGGCTGGAGGGACTGGCTCACTCAGTACTTGGTGCTGCTGACCAAAGGGGAGCATTGGGTTTGAGAATCATATTTTTAAAAGCTTTTCCTGTGGAGGTGTAGATGAAATGTTGAAAGACTGTGGGGAAATATTTGCTCATGTTCTATCAGTGCTGTCCAATATAGGTTTAGTGATAATGTAAGAGTCCTGTGATCTGCTATTCAGCGTGGCAGCCACCATAGCCCATGTGTTTCCTGAGTGGTAGGAACATGATCAGTGCAACTGGGAAATTGAACCTGAAATTGAATTTAATTTTAATTACACTCAGAGCACCACCAGAGGTTGGCGGCCACATGTTGGGCAGAACAGCTCTGACTGACTGTGATTTCTCTTGGACGCCAAGTCACCTGGGTGTAGAGATGGATTTTGTGACCGTGTCTAGGCTCTGAGTTTCATCCACGTTGTGGGAGGTAGCTGCATGCTTGGGGATGATTTGTTGCTAATTGCATCAAGTATAAAGAAGGAAATGTGCTGGTTTGGCCTAGTATTGTTTTATGTTTAAACACTTAAAACTGATCCTCTTAGAGTGTCCCATTATTTTAATGTTTACCTTTCCCAAGATGAAAGGAAACTTCAGTGAAACCTAAAGGGCTGGTATTAAACTCACCCTGTTGCAGGGCTAAGCAAGTCACGATTTTAAAGAGGTTCTTTGTCATCAAATGTGATTCTACGCGACTTTGTAGAGATGGGAAGGTACTGTTCCTAAAGCTCAGCAGGAGAAATGGTGTCACCGCTGTGCAGTGGAGAGATCACCAACCCTGTGCTTTCTGCCTTCCTGCGCCAGAGCCTCCCATGGGGCCCCACTTGCCCCTGCCCAGCCGAGCACCCAGCCGCCCATGGTCTGCCCAGGGGCTGCTGAGAATGAGGGCTGCCGTGCTGTGTCTCATCTGCTTCTCTGTCACCGTTGCTGAGGGCCACGCTGGCCCCCTGGGGGTGAGTTGGCCAAGGCCCCTCTTTCTGCTCCTGGCACGTTTAAGATCCATCCTTCTCAAGATGAAGGGAACAGCATAGCCCGATGAGCTCTTCAGTCCTGAGGTCTGGTCTCACCTCACCAGCCTCCCCGGGGACCTGGATAAGTCCCTCATCTCTTGGCGCTCAGAAGGCTGAGCCATGGAGCCATTGGAGCCCTGTGGAGCTTGGCGTGTGCTCTATATGGGTGCAGAAGAGCTTTGGGGTTGGTATTAGCAGCCTAGGGAGCTCCTCCCGATCTCCGCCCACTTCCATCCGGGATCACAGGCTGGAAACTTTCTAGATATCGGTATGGCCACCTCAGCCCTGAACACCGTGTGCTTGATTCTTCTCCTGCTCTAAATCTAAACCACTTCTTTATTGCTGTATCTTTAAACCTGTCCAGATCCCAAACCCTCCCCGCCCTGACCCTAACCCTAACCTGGATCCACATCTGCACTGTCGGCACCTACGGTGCCTCGGTAACCCCTGACATGCTGTCCTTGCTTTTCTGCTTGTTTATTCTCAGGGTGGCTTCAGGATTGAGGCTGCTACACGGCGCATCAGAGAGCGTTTCCTCTGTCCCACTCAAATACAAAAAGAAGCCCTTCTGGGGACCATACAGGTCCACACCACCTGTCCCCCAAGGCTCTGACCCCTGTCCTGCCCTCTCTTCACCTCTCAGCTGCTCTAGAGTCCTCGCTCTGCTACGAACCCCCATCCCTGGGCCTTGGTACGTGCTGTCCCTTCCTCTGGAAAGCTGTCTCTCCAGGAATGCTCGCTTCCTCACTTCCATCTGGTTCCTGCTCCACAGCACTTCAGTGCAGCCTCTCCTGACCCCTCTACCACCCTGGGCTTGGATTTGAGATCTGTGCCTTCGGTTCACCTGGGAACCCTAAAGGCCTATGGCATACAACTTTCCAAAGCCTCACGTCAACATCTTTTCTTTTGTACAGAGAAATGAAGGCTTCAGAGACAAAAGAGAACTCAGGGTGGATGAGCCAAGGCCTCCAGGTGAGACTCTGCTCGATGGACTTTGGAGCTGAGGCAGCAGGGCTCTAGCTCAGCAGCGCCTCTGACAGGCTGTGCAGCTGGATGTGCATTTTGCAACACCCCAAGTCTGTAATGTGGGAATAGCAACAATTCCTGAGAGCGAGGCATTTGTGAGGAGTAAATGATGTAGTCGTGTCTTGCAACAAACCCACCCCGTGGTGTCCATAGACTTCCTTTCCTTCCCAGCATTCACCCTAACATGTCACCAACTTGTCTAGGAACGTGCTAGGTTGTGAATGTTTTAAGAGCTGAATGTATTTCCTCCTAGAAAGCATGGTGTACACCCATGGCTGCTAGGTCTCAGGACCGGCCCACAGATGTCTTTCGCACATGCACTGAGTGCTAATGGTGCCGTGGAACTTCCCCATGCCAGGCTACAGTGCTCCGGGAAAATGAAGTCAGTATTGCAGCTTGGAGTGTCATGCACACCTTTTCCCTGACAGCAAGAATGACAATAAAAATACACCAAGTGTGTATTGGGCTGTTGTTATTGGTGCATGCCAGGTGCTGTTTAAAGTACATTATGAAACCTTTGAGTTAGTGAAACTCAAACCCAGTCAGTCTGGCTCCAGAACCAGCACTTGCAAATGCCTAGGGTAGGAATTTGCCTGTCTATGAAGGCAGAGTGAGAACACCAGAACCCAGAAGTTCAGGAGATCTGTTCTTGGGGAGAGAAAAATAAGTTATTTTCAGAAATAATTAGCCAGAGCTTAGTGTGCACAAAGACTCAAGGTTTAGTGTAGCTTTGCTTTCATATTTCATAGAAATCCTCAAATCTTGGCTAATTATTGGAAGATTCTTTTACAGGAGAAGAGAGGCTTCTTACAGAATGTGTCTCCTACCTCCGTTGGGGGTGGGACAGAGCACTGAGACCTGGCCAGGGAAGTGGGAGGAGAGGCGTGCGCTGGGGCGGGTCGCCCTGCCTGCTGTGTCACTGCACAGGCGGCTCAGACAGGGTCCACATGGCAGTAACAAGCAGCACAGAGAGTCGTGGCCCCCAGCACAACCGACGGCTGCTCCTGACCCCTCTCAGCATCTTTCCCATGACAGAGGGGACAGCTGACCATTCTTCTCCCTCCAGGCCCAGCCCAGGAATTTGAGGTGCTGCTGCAGGTGCCCTACAGAAACCCCCGGGAGAAGGAGCTCCTGCGGAGGAGGCTGCTGGAGCTCCCTCTGGCACCCCCGTCGGCCTGCTTCCTGGGGCCCTCGAGAATCCTGGGGACGAAGGCCACCACGTGTGAGTCAGCTCTGGGCCAGCGTGGTGGGGAGGAGTGTGCTTGTTGGGGTGCTTAGGGGGTGCAGCGGGAAGCATCACCCTCATCACTGTGGTCTCAGAGAGTAAGGGCCAGGTACAGTTCTGTGGTGAGTGCGTGCCCAGGGGTCAGAGTCCCTGAGTCCCATCCCAGCACTGCAAAACAAGCAAAGGTTTTGTTTCCCTTCCATGCTGCTTGTTCATTGCCGAGGGCAGAGAGGCTGTGTCTGTGGTAGTCACCGTGTCCCAGGCTGATGACCACACCCCATGCCAAATGCAAGATCCTGGGTCATAAGCAAGTAGAACCCTGTCAGGGTTCACACAGGGGCAGCTGGCCTCTCAAAGGCACTAGTTCTGCTCACAGTGTAGCGGCCAGAAATGACACCAGGCCCCAGAAGCCTGATTCGCACTCTTGCCATGGGCCAGGACAGCAGCAGGAAGGGCTTGGCCAAGGGCACTGACAACCACAGAGCTGGAATTTAGAGTGGTGTGATGTTCCGCCTACACCAGTGATGCTCAGGCCACAGCAGGGGCAGTGGGAGTTTCACAGAAACGCAGATGCTGGAACTCTTTCGGACTCACCAGATCCCAAATTCCAGGGTGTCTGAGGAGTGGTAAAGTTGGGGAACTGCTCACTGTTCACGGCCATGGGTATTTTCACAAAGCCGTCTGGCGACTTTGCCGCATTGCTTTGTCCTCTGAAAAGCAATGGCTTCCTGGGGGAGTTTCAGGTCCAGTGCAAAAGAATGTGAAAGAATGAACATACAAGATGGTTCACAGAGCTTCTTATCATGCCAGGAATCCCCAAAGGTTTCCATGCCATCTTGTGCTTAGAGTCTCTCTTGGAGGGTAGATGGGGAGACTCCAACAAGGTGGTGGCCAATGTCCTCTAGTATGCTTTAAACAGCTCCAGTGTTGGAAAGGCCTCTGCTCCTCTCTCCGGCTGTAGTGTCATCTTGGGGACACATGTCCTTCCTGGGTCCTAAGCCTGGCTGTTTAGTTTTGTGTCCTAACTCATACTTCTAGCTCTTACTGAAAAATATGAAGTTCAGGTTTTGTGTCCGTGCTGAGGACTGAGCTCTGTGGGGTCAGCTTAGAATCGGGCTCCATGAGAGCAGGTTCTGTCTTTGTGCAGATTGCCACGGTCAGGACGGGGCCCTGCGCTGTGTCTGTGAGGACACCTACACCTGGTTCCCCCCCTCCTGCCTCGATCCCCAGCACTGTCACCTGAACTCAGCCGGATCCCACCCAAGCTGCGACTGCCGTCCCAGCAACCTCAGCCAGAGTGCCAGCTTCTGCGAGAGAGCGAGTAAGCAGTGAGGCCACCGGTGGGGGCATCCTCACCCCATAGGCCACAGGGAGGTTTCCCTGGCCCACAGCCCCCATAAGGGAGGCTGATGCCTGCAAGGGAGGTGCAGGGCGGTGACCACGAACCCTCTAGGCTTGTATAGACTCAGCATGGACTTCGCATGCACAAAAGACCCAGATAGGCAATGAGCATTCAGGTGCCATTGCAAATTCTAGAGACCCCCAGCCCAGCTCTGCACTTATCTGATGTCAAGCGGAGAGGTAGAGAGATTCGCTCAAGTCCCAAGCAGGTGACTGTTTGAGTTAGCAACACTTCCTCCCGCTCCCTTCTCACTCATGGCCCAGGTCAGTGCTGGAGGTGTGAATGCAGGAGGGTTGTGCTCTGATGACACTGAGAGAGCCGCTCTGATGTGGCAGCACATACAGCACTAGGGCATCACTGAGAAGTAAAGACAACGAGGCAGATGTTAAAGTTCCAGCTTAGGAAACCAGAGGCAGCGGAGGGAGCTACTGCTGACTTAGGTTTGTGCTCTGTGAACCTTGAGGTCAGCCGATGACACAGACGCCAGGGCTTGAGGGACTGCAAAGCTTCTGTGAAGGCAACCCTAGTTTTCTCGAAGCTGTGGATGTTAGTGGAGCTGAGGAAGACGTGAAGGGAGCTTGGCATGGGTCAGCCTACTGGTGTCCCTGGCTCCCCTTCCACGACCTCAGCCATTCAGGGCATGGCAACCTATGTTTACCAAGCACCGTCTCTACACCCAGTGCTGAGCTAAATTCTAGGAGAACATGCGGAACCAATTTTATTGTTGTCATATATGAGTTCCCAGGCTTGCTGCAGAGGCTGGGCTGTAATACAAGAAAGAAAACATTGTAATTTCACCAACAAATATAAAGGAAAGGCTTTCTTTACAAAGATGGCTCATGCCTGGTTCATCTGGAGAAGATACAAAGCAGATCAGACAGGGTGACACTGGCAAGGTGCTTCCCACAGGACTGCAGGAACACGTCCTGGTCACCCCCGCACAGACAGATGTTTAGGCCGAAGAGGCTGTAGGGAGGTAGAGGTAAAGCATGGGAGACATGCAAAAGCAGGAAAGACTGCGTCTGGGGACCAGAGAGGGGCTGACAGAAGGGATGACAGTTAACCAGGTCCCGAAAGAAAGATGCACTAGGGTCCTTTCCCATGCAGAGGGGCGCTGGCAGTGGATAGGTCAGCAAGGAGCATGTTGCTGCTGGAAACTAAGAAAGACAAGGCTTAAGCTTCACACCTAGGTGAGCTGCGTGTTCGTAGTCATTGACAGCACGGCCGCGTGTTTCTGTACTTGGAGGGTTGTCACGGTTACCGGCTCTACCCGTCACTGTTGCAAATCTATAGCTGAAAATTCTGGCTGGATATGTGCTTCCTGTATTATTCTAGATGAATGTTTATTATGCAGAAAGTGGAAATACCACTGTTGAATATCTGGGCACTGAATTATATTTCTCTTCGTTTTATCCTGCTAATAAAATCATGTTACAAAGGTATTGCATCTCAAAACTTCTTTCTGTTTCCCACAGAGGTTTGGGGCACTTTCAAGATTAAGGAAACCTTTGCAAAAGACCTTTTGAATTCATCTTCTGCTAAATACTCTCAATATGCATCGGAAAGTGAAAAACAAGTAAGAAATTTCTATTTCTTAGCTAGGGAGTCATTGGCTAAACACGGGTTCTGATGTTTTCAATTCAGCGTGGATACTTAATACAAATTCTTAACCATTTTTATTCTCATTGAGTTCTATGGAGAATTTACTTGCTGTATCCACAACTCACATTCCTTGGACAATTTTCTAGGAAAGTTTATCAGCTGACTTTCCATATCCTTTGTGCTTCGTTTTGGTCATCTATTGACTATTATGCTAAGGACTCTGGATTATTTTCTGATTTTTATTTGCCAAAAGAAAGCTTTTGTACCTATACTCCATTTTTAGCATTTTGATCTGTTTCATTCAGAAGATTACCTGGTTAGAGGCTGAAGGCAGGTACCCAGCAAAGCCCTGGCCTTCGTCATGAAGTCACAAAAGCACCAGATCCATCAGCACCTCTGCCAGGATGATGGTATGGGTGTGGTTGAGTGCTTGTCAAGATTAACGGCTTGGTTTGGATAAGAAGAAAGTAGATTGGAGTGAATTTATTACATTACCCAGTACCAAATATATCCTCGATTCTAAACTGTTGTTATTCAATCTTTATTAGCAACCTCAAAACCAAACTCTGTATATGTGTGCATGCAGACGTATGTGTACATTCCCAGTTGCTATTTTAGCTGCATTTATATGGCATTGTGACTACTTCTAGCAGTATCCCTTTCCTTTGCCTGTTTGCTATGGTTGGTTTATTTATTGTCTTCATCCTTCTTTTATCTTTTTTTTTTTTTGCAAATGTCTTTCTGAAGTGTGAGAACAAAGATTAATGCATGTTCTTTATTTTCTTCCTCAGCTCAAAGAAGTATACAAAAGAATTCAAGATTTTGAGTCAGTTCATGTCACCCAATTTCGGTAAGTAACACCATGGCCTTAGAAGGTCATCTCCAGGGTTGTGCCCGGCAGAATTCTGAGCATGTTCCTTGGGGCAACCTTGGCAGAAAACAGGGCAGTCTAGTGTTTGTCGTAGGACCCTTACTAAGCATGATGCTTTAAAAGAATGAAGACGAAAGCCTGGATTCTTATTGAGATGAGTTTCAGAGCCTAGAGCGTGAAGAACATTCTCAAAGCTGTGGATGAGACAGGACCTGCAAAGGCAGAATCCTGGAAGGAAGCAGGCGATCGTGGTGTAGATGTGTGGGGAGGGGCAACACATGGGATGGAGGTTGGGGCGTAGAGGGGTGAAGTTTTTCCCTCACAGCCAGAGTACGTGATATTGTATAACTTGAAGCCAGAACGGGGAGCCTTGGGTGAATTATTACCTTTTTGTGTAGATCTTATGCATGTACCATGGTTCCAAATGCAGTAGTTATTATCTGCAGCAAATAAAGAGTTGTTTCAAACTCTTGTTTTAATTCCAAAAGTTACTTGGTTAGTTAACCATGTGTACCCTGATTTCCATATTCATAGTCGGCTTGATGGAGGAAGTAGCTTAGAGGTCAGAGAACTTGACTTATTATCACCATCATCATTATCATTATTATTATTATTACTCGCAGTTAAAACCAGCCACAGGAAAATTTCAGTCACATTTGCTATAAATATGTTGTCCTGGCCGTGTCCTTTAAGTCTTCCTATGTGTTTATTCTCTAAAGTTCCACATGAATGTTTTCCTTCAAAATTCAATGCTAGTTTTCAATGCAGTTTTCTTATATAGTGTGTATGTAATTGATCATATTTCCCTGAATGGCTTTGTTGTAAGATCTCCTGGACAAAATTGACAGTCACACTCATTTTTATATTTAATACTCATATTTTTCTTTTCCCTGGTCTTCTATTTATATTTCCAACTTACATTTTATCCTGCATGTCTTATAAAACTGTCCCCAGTAATTCGTGTACACAATCACAGTCAAAGTAGGCATAAGGCTGGAAAGACGATTTATTAAGTTTTCCTCCTTATGCACATGATTTAAAACAAACCTTAATTTCTCATTGTCCCAATTTACTTATCTGTCCAACAGGACAGCTCACAGCTGTGAGCCTGTCTAATCCTCCTTAAGTCAAATGCACTAACAGGCAGGAAGGGTTTTGTGAACAAACAGAAGAGCCTTATAGGTGCGAAGGCACTGTGACCCTCCCTACGCAAAGAGTTCTGGATTCACACTCCTGTTGTGAGCAGAAGTTCAAGGAGGAGCCGAGAGCTTTAGCTTTGGAGTCTCAGCTCTAACCTGTGAATTAGCAGCTGGCAATTTCCTGACCCAACTGCTCCTTGGGTCTCATTTCCCTTATCTCTAAGGCGGGGATAAGGCAGTGGTGATGTCATGGGGTAATTGCAGGATTAACTTGCTGGACAATACAGAAATTCGCTTGCTCTTTATGCTCCAGTGCCATCTGAGGGCTGCTGGCTTCTCTCTCTTCACCTGAGCGTGGCCTCTTCCCGGAATGCCAGACCTGGCTACCTGGCTGCCAGCTTCCGGTGTGGCCACCTGGATGCTCCACTTGAAACCCAGGCCGAATTCCTCACTGTCTCCCCCTCCCTCCTGTTGCTGTTCCTGTGCAGTCTCCAACCTCGAAGCATCCTTGTTTTATATTTAGATTTATATGCAGCGCTGTGCTCACACCCTAAGGGCTCGGCTCAGCCCTCTTTGACCAATGCCTGCACCAGCCCTCTGGGCCGAGGCAACACACTCCCATCCCTGGCTCCTTCCTAGAGGATTCCATGTCCACCTGCTGTGCTCTGCCACACCCCCTGGCCTGGCTGCGTCACTGTAGGCTAGAATTCCTGCAAATGCAGTCACAGGGCATTGGCTTTGTAACCTGGGTTCTCAACTCAGCACAATATCTCTGAGATGGATCCATGGTTTCCAGAGCACTGCGGCTCCTCCCTTTCGACTGCCCAGTAATATTCCATTGTGTGACACCCTCAGATTTGCGCTTCCAGGCCTCGAAGTCATTCTTGACTGGTTTCTTTCTCTCACACCCAACCTGCTTCCTGAGTGCCTGTAGTCAGGTTCCAGTACCCACCTGCCCAGTGTGCGACACAGGCCTGAGAAAAAAGTACACTAAGAGACAGAACTAAGAGAGAGAAAGCAGGGGCCAGGACGACCAACGCCAGTGCAACCGACAAAGGCTCTGGCCAGTCGCAGGCACTGACTTTTATTGGCAATCAACTGGGGTAAAGGCGATGTGTGGTTTCTTGGAAATTAATGTAAACAAGGCTCAGAAAGGACAAGGCAAAGCAGTCTCGAATTAGGAACAGAATCAACAAAATATATTATTGTAATTAGAACACTGTCCTTCTAGTCTGAAGGTTTTAGTTATGGGGACAGAATTTGGGTGCGAGTGACTCTGACCTTGGCATGTAGGCTTCGGCCAGACTCAGGCCTGTGAACAAGCCAGTTGTGGGGTTAGCTCTTCACAGCCTGCTTTGGGCATGATCAGTGTTACAGTCCTCTGCACCAAGCAATTCTGACAGCTTTTTCCTCACGTACAGCACAGGTTTAACACCTTCTCGCACACGCACTGCTACCCAACTAGTCCAAGCCACTCCATTCCTTCCTGACTGGTCTTCCTGCTTCCATGTCTGCCTCCTTTCAGTTTATTTCCAGAGTGATGACCTTAGACAGTAAGCATGATCCTGCTGTTCCCTTTCAATACAGAATAAAGCTGTTGATAAAGAAGGAAACTCAAACCCTAAGGATCTGGCTCCTGGCTGCTTCTCCAGTGTTACCTCCTGCTTCTTTCTGTCTTGCTCATCGAATGATGGTCAAGCCAGACTTTAAGTTAGACTCACACCCCCTACCCCAGGACCTTTGCACATGCTGGAATGTTAGACCAATATTCTTTTCATCACTGGGCCTGTTCTTCACGCCATTCAGGCATTGGTTTTAAAGACCTCTCGCATAGAGAAGCTTCTCTGACCAGCCCAGGTCCCAAATCTGGTTTGTTCCTTTGGACTGGATGCTGTGTACATGCAGACTGGACCTCGGATGCTTATAGGGCTGGAAAGTTGGTTCACCTTCTGTCCACATCTTCCTTGCAGGGCTGGCAGCATCATCACGGGCTTCGAAGTCATCGGCTCCAGCAGCACTTCCCAGCTGCTGGCCGCCCTTCAGCAGGAGTCTGCTGCGGTCCAAGCAGCGCTCAGTAGCCTCTTTCCCCTGGAAGCTGGCTCCTTCAGGGTATTCTCAAAAGGTAACCCTGGGTCCCACCCTCAGATCGACCGGGGAGCCCTCTAGTTAGTAGCTTGCTGCTGCTCCTATCTTCAGGAATAGAGGGGAGGTGCTTCCGGGAGAGAAGTGTTCTCAGCGGAAATAGGCAGTTGTCCCCCTACCACAATAAAAGTCAGTGTCAGCTGATGTTTGCAAGTCTTCTCTGGTGGTGAGCAGATCTCATCTCTGAGTGTAAATTTAGGAATGGCTCACTGCCTATGATTTCTAAAACATCCAACCCCTGGGACAGGGTTAATGCAAGGGCTGGGATCTCCTGGGTCCCTTCCCTCTGTTTCCATTCTCTTCCAGCCCCATGTCACAGCGTGGCCTTTGGGTTCGGTGCTGAGGACAGCGAGTGCACCCTGCCCTGCAGCAGCGGCTACACTGGAAATGTCACAGCCCGGTGCCAGCCCTCGGGGTGGCAGGTGGTGCGAGAGTCCTGTGTGCTCTCCCAGCTGCAGGAGCTGCTGCAGGTGATGTGTTTCTACTGTGCACATCTCCAGTGGGCCCAGGAGGGTGGGCAGGACTGGCAGGGACAGCTGGGGAGGTGACAGCATCCAGGTTGATGGATCTGTCCTGTCCGGGAGGGGTGCTGCTGAGGCCAGAGCCAACCTGAGGCCTTCGACACATGGCAGAACAGCAGCCAGGCTGCCTTCGGAGCCCAGAGGCCTGGGTATTGAAGATGCAAGTGAGGGTGAGGGAGGGTCTGCACATATCGGGGCTGGGACAGGGCTGGCCAGGCAGGGTGCTGTGCAGACCGACAAACCTGCAGTGGGGCCGAGGGTCACCCTTTCCCAGGCTCCCTCTGTGGACTGGGAGCCAGGGTCCCACTGTGAGCAAAGGTGTGGATCTGGAAACACAGTCACATGGGCTCCGCCCCATGCCGTGGCCCCTATGCTTGCTCTCTCAGCAACATTCAAGTATTGGGACAAGGAAGGTTGGAAGAAGGATATGAACATCAGGACTGGAGTCCCAGAAAAGAAGGACACCGGGACCAGTGCCCCCCGCCTCCGGGACCAGTGCCCGGACACAGCCTGGAGCCCATCTCCACCCGGAGCTGAACTTGTGTCCACACAGAGCCCTTGCTGTCACAGTAGAGATCCCGGGTGGCACTGATCAGTTCAATTCTCCCTTTCTGGGCCTCAGTTTCCTCATCTGTAGACTGGGGAGAGGAACAGCACCAGGTGGCCGCTGTGGTCTGTTCTTGCTCTCGTCTTCTTCAGCCGAGTTCTGACAGGGCCAGGGTTGGAGCTTGTTCACCCCAGAGTTTGAGGGTGGCAGAGAGCAGCAACAGCCACCCAGAAGGATGAAGTGAGTGGGTGGGTCTGGGGTCCTGAGCTGAGCGGTGGGAACAGCCCCCCCACCCCTGCAGCTCCCAGCTCAGCCCAGCACACAGAAGCGAGGGGACCCTAGGAATGGGTGACACTCCGAATCCAGCGGCATGGGAGGAGTGGACTCAGGTCAGTAGCCTGTGGGGATCTAACCCAGGATCAGGGCTATGACACTTCGCTCAGCACTCTTGGGAAGGTCCCCAAACCTCCCCAAGTGATGTCATTTCTGGATCATTAGGATGATGATTTACATGAAAGTGTTTTTAAACAAATCTTTTCCAGTTCCAGTTTCCTTAGCTACAAATGACAATAATTATAGCACTTCCTTGCAATGTGCTTAAAGGATTGAACCAACGACTCCAGGGAAAGCACTTAGCTCAGTCTTGGACAGGCAAACGCTGAATCATGGCTACCACTGCCATCATTGCTACTTAATTGTCCCACGATCTACGGCACCATGCAAATGCTGGCCAAGACATCCGCTCCCAGCCTGGCTGAGCAGTTTCTGTTTTCTAAAACATAACCATCTTTATTTCTAGAACTTCAGTGCAATCGCAGACAGTGCCACCCAGGCGGACGTGTCGTCCGTGGTGCGAGAGCTCTCGGGCATCCTGAAGCAGAGCCCGGCCACCACAGCAGGGAGCCTGGCTTCAGTGGTGTCACTTCTGAGCTCAGTTTCATCCCTGTCCCTGGAGAAGGGTTTCATGGTGTCAGATTCGACCCTGGAGGTATGGCCTGGGGGCCGGCCCAGCTCACTGTGAATGGTGTCTTTTGGAGGAGGAATGAAGCCTAGATGACTAGGGGGTCTTGAAAAAGACAGAGGAGCCTGTTACAGTCCCCCTGTGGGCAATGCTGCATTCTCTGCAGGGTGCAAGGAGCCATGGGCTCCATAGTGTGGGTCCACAGGGAGAGGAAGCTCCTCTGGGCTGCTGGGAGGAGGGGTGAGCTTCTGCACCCCAACATTTCAACTCCTGCTTGCTGTCTGCAATTGTTCCCTTCTGCAGCCATGAGCTCTGCCTTAGCAGTGTGCACCCCAAAACCTCCTTTTTGTGAGACAGGATCTCACTGTGGCGCTCAGGCTGGCCTTGAACTCACTCTGTAGCCCAGGCTGGCCTTGAACCTGCGGTGATCCTCCTGCCTCAGCCTCCCAAGTGTCGGGCCAAAACCTCTCTTCTTTCAACTGGGAGATCATGGTTTAGTTTGGATGTTTAAAAATTCACTTAAACAGGACACCAGTAATATACAATCACTATTAGAAATACAAATAAAAAAAAGGAGAAGTAAGAGAGCTCTAATCTCACCATCCTAGAACAGCTGACACCCATACCCAGGTGTCTCCTTGGGACAGGTGCAGTGCCTGCTCCCTCAGGGGCCTTCCTAATGGTTTGGAAGAGTCCATTTTATATTTTAAAGTCCCAATACTTCACAACATTGGACTATGCAGTATAAATTCCACGATTTTATGTTTATACTTTACTACCTGGAGTGAACATTATGTCAAAGATGACATTAAAGCTGAATTAAAGAAAAGATGTTAAGGTTCATTGTTCACATGCTGTTTACAAGAAGCCGACTAGAGTGAAAAGAAAAGATACGAAATGGAAAGTGAACCTAGAGCAGCAACATGTAGCCCAAGAAAGCGGAGGTTCTGGGGGTGGAGGGACGAGGTGGGAAGGCACAGGCCCAGCAAGGGCACCAGGTACCCAGAGCCACAACCGAGTGCCTGGGCTGGGGCAGAAAGAGGTAGCTTAGGACAGGGATCTTCAGACCAGGCCTAAGACTGCTTCTGTTTCTTTCTAGGTCTAGTTTTTAAGGATTGTTCTGTATTCTCCTGTAGTAGAGAAACAAACACAAAACATGAGTTAAAACTTGAATATCCATGACACGTCTTTATGACTTTTGATGTTAAGGAAGGAACATACAATGAGAAAGCTGTTCCAAGTAGCATGCCCATCTCTGAGCCTCCACCTGAGTATGAATGCATAGTCGCTTGGTTGCTTTGTGGTCTCAGGCAGAAGGAAATGTGCACTCTTGCCTGGCAGGGTGCTTATTTATCTGTGCCAAAACTCCACGATGCATCTGAATGCCTTGGGGGATCAGCCTGGACCCAAGTTCTTTGCTCAAAGCTTCTGTACAGTGAAACAGAAGTGACATTAGTTGATGAGTTTTACTGGGTTCCTCCCCGGAGCCAATTTTTTGAGCACTTTCTCTACACTTAATACAAACAACCCTCCTCTCTTAGTCCTGTAAGCTTTCACTGAAAGCAAACTGACTTGCACCCTTGTGTTTCAGGATGTCATCAGCATAGCTGACCACATCCTAAATTCCTCATCCATAACGAACTGGACGATTTTATTGCAAGAGGAAGAGCAGGCCAGCTCCCAGTTACTAGAGACACTGGAAAACATCACCCTTCTGGTACCTCCCTCTGCTCTGCCTCTGAATTTTTCTCTGGAATTTATTAACTGGCAAGGGATTCCATGGACCCAAACCCACAGCAATCACAGTTACAGCTACCAGATTGAGTTGTTCCAAGAGGGTCGCGCCCTTCCCATCAGAGGCCACGCTTTTATTAGGCCAGACGAATTCCAGGTCTCTGCTCCAGAAACTATCATCAGCATGGCCTCTGTGACCTTCGGGCACATCTTACCCAAGACCCAGGGTGACAATGCTCGGGTCAACGGGCCCTTGATATCCACAGTTATCCCAAACTATTCCATAAATGAAATCTTCCTGGGCTTCTCCAAGATCGAGGCAAACCTGAGCCAGCCCCACTGTGTGTTTTGGAGTTTCAGTCACCTGCGCTGGACCAGTGCTGGTTGCCACCTGGTGAATGAGACTCCAGACGCAGTGCTGTGTCGGTGCACTCACCTGACCTCCTTCTCCATACTGATGTCACCCTCTGTCCCCGCTGTGATTGTCCCTGCGGTGAGATGGATCACCTATGTGGGCCTGGCCATCTCCATTGGAAGTCTCGTCTTATGCCTGATCATCGAGGCTCTGTTTTGGAAGCAGCTCAGGAACACTCAGATCTCACACACTCGCCACATTTGCATGATGAACATAGCCCTGTCCCTCTTGATTGCTGATGTCTGGTTCGTTACCGCTGTCACTGTAGACACCACCGCCGGCCCCTCTGGAGTCTGTGTAGCCGCCATCTTCTTCACTCATTTTTTTTACCTCTCCTTGTTATTTTGGATGCTGGTGCTTGGTGTCCTGCTGTCTTACCGAATCGTCTTCGTGTTCCACCACATGGCCATGCCTTCGATGATGGCCATCGGATTCTGCTTGGGCTATGGGTGCCCCCTGGTCATAGCCATAGTCACCATTGTGGTCACACAACCTAGCAACAGCTACAGCAGGAAGGATGTGTGTTGGCTCAACTGGTCGGATGGGAGCAAACCTCTCTTGGCTTTTGCTGTTCCTGCGCTCGCTATTGTGGCTGTGAACCTGGTGGTGGTGCTCTTAGTGCTCACAAAACTCTGGAGGCCAGTCATTGGAGAGAGGGTGACCCAGAATGACAAAGCCACCGTCATCCGCATGGGGAAGAGCCTCCTCATCCTGGCGCCTCTGCTGGGGCTTACCTGGGGCTTTGGCATCGGAACCATGGCCAACAGCCAGAACCCGGCCTGGCATGTTCTCTTCGCACTGTTCAATGCATTCCAGGTGAGACTGGGGAGTGTGCTTTATTACACTCTTGTGTCACTGGAGTCGTGACAGAGAACTCGGGGTGGTAAACTACTCCAGAGGTGTCTCATCTCCCTGGCTGCTGCAGGACTGTCAGGAAAAGTGCATAGAAACAATGAGAAGGGGGGAAAAAAATCCATCTTCTCCAACATTTAGTGAAGCAGAGTATTGGGCTTCTCCAGGAGTTCACCAGCCGGTGGGCTTTAAATCTGCTAGAGTGCACATAGCTCAGGCTGATCCCTCTTGCTATTGGCTCCATACCCTTTCTCTTGGGCAGACTTCTGAAAAAGCACCAAGAAAGGGGAATCCATCAAAAGTACTGTTGACACTGAAAGGCACAAAGGAAATTCTTTCAGTATGAGGAGCATTGGCTGGCAACCTGCCACTGGTGGTCTGTTTTTGTAAATAAAGTTCTATTGGCACACATCTGTGCCCACTGGTTACATGTGAGGTGTACAACAGCAGTCACAGCTCAAGGCCTGTGTCCTGGGCACAGGTCAGGGAGTGCCCGTTGGGGTGGAGGGGGGGAACCATCAGAACAGGTACCAGACAGGGCTCTGTGAAGGGAGTCGCAGCTCCAGGTTGAAGGTGCCGCTCGCAGGGTTTCCAGAGAGGACAGCTCCCTCTGTAGGGCCGTAGGGTGGGCCCAGTGCTGGCTCCACCAGAGATGCAGAGAGGACACTTACTAAATGCCTGCTGTATGAACAACTACCCTGCAGACACCAAAGGAAGCTATTTGTCTGGGGCCTGGGTTGACCCAGTGGGGAGAATGAAGCTCCGTGTGTGTTAGAAATGTTGTCCTCTTGAGCGCTGCTTCTTTATGCATTTTGTGTATAAAAACCTTTGAGTCCTTGTGTTGTGGCGGCCATGCAGAGGCTCCTACCTGCAGGGAGATGGAGCAGAAAGCAAGGCCAGTGCTGGGTGGTACAGCAGGTAATGCCTCTTATGGACACTTTCTTTTCTGGAAAAGAAAAATACCATAAATGTGACTGACTTTCTTTTCTCGTTAAAGGGGTTTTTCATCTTCTGCTTTGGAATACTCCTGGATAACAAGGTGGGTTACATTCTCCTCTCTCTAAAGCCTCATCCTTCCATTCTGAGGCCTTTTTCATGTAGTACAGGTTGGACCACAGGCACTTTGTAGTAAATTCTATCCTTTTACCGGAGGCAGTGTCATCCAGAGGCAGAGGAGCTCAAGGTCCCTGCTGGTAGAGCCATAAAAATTCACTTTGACATGCAATGTGAACATTATAGAAAAATAAGGGAATCCTTTTTACATTTAATTTTCCTGATTTAAATTATGATTCGACAGTGACTCAAGAGGAAAATCACTTTCCTAAGGGGTAAATTCCCTTTTGATCTCATAATTGGTTTTTTTTTTTTAAATTTCTGTGTGTGTGTGGTAGTGGGATAAAACCTAGGGCCTTCACCCTGAACTACATCCCCAACCCCTTCTTTATTTTTTATTTTGAGACAGAGACTCACTAAGTTGCCCAGGCTGTGGTTCAACTTGCAATCCTCCTGCTTCAGCTTCCCAGAGTACTGGGATTCAAGGCATGTACTACCACACCTGCTTTATCTAAATATTTAGAATATGCTGAAAGTATGTCTATTCTTTATTTTTACAGTTTTATATACTAAATATTAATAGCATTTCACATTAAATAAAATTCCTACTTTCAGTTGAAGTGAAATATAATTTAAAAAATTAAAAAAAATTTGTTTTATCCCCCCCCCACCCCCCAGCTTTGAGCAATTCCATTGAGAGAAGCAAGCAGTAAGGTCATAGGTGCAGAGTCACTGTTTTAATAAGGAAATGAGACTATTTCCTAATTACAACAACTGTGGCACACATCACAGTATCCTCTTTAGGCAGAAGCAATTTGCCACTCTAATTGCACTAAATAATTGCCTGGCTTCTGTCACTTACATGCTTAGGGAATCCTTCATTTCAGATAAACTCCAATTACTGTCAATTACTAATGTCTATAGATTGGGTTATTGTTTAATTCCAGTTTTGTTTATGGGTAAAGATGATAAGAAAACAATCTTTTATCAACTATTTATGCCCGTGGTTTATCAAGTGCTTCTAGGAAACAATGCTATTAAATACCAATTTCAACCTGCAGTTTTGTCTCAGCACATTTATGTGTGACTGTATATGTGTATCTCTTCAACATTTCTGTGTTGTCCTTATAGCTGCGGCGACTTCTGATCAACAAGTTGTCTCTGTTAAGCCATTGGAAGCAAACATCAAAGGTAATTAATTATTGCCTATTGCAGCGCATGAAGATTCAGCTTGGCACTTTTCTATGCGCAGTCTTGCTGCAGACCTGTTTCTGTGCATGGCCCTGGCGTTTCTGTCGCTATCCTATTCCTGAGGTCTGGCCGGGTGCCTGGCACAGTCAGTGCTCTGAGTGGGTGAATGTGGAGGCATGGAGCTGACAGCAGGCCTCAGGGTCGAGGTGTGTGGGTCTCAAGGGGAGTGAGGCTTTTTTTTGCTTTAGTCTCTTGCAACTTTAGCCCTTAACTCTACAACCTACGATTGGGCAAGTTTGTATGGGAGTAGATTTCAGTCTCATTCTTTGCCACAGAAGTGCACATCCACATGAGGATAGTAGAGTTCAAGGCAAAGGTACTTGCATGTGTGTTTTCTGTTTTCACTGTTGATTTAGACTTTTGTCTTTCAGCAAGACCGAGCTTCTAAAGTAGAGATTTCTGTATTGATAACTAGCCAACTGACTTAACTGCATCCAAATCTGGGTGTTTAGAGGATTTTACAACAACAATATAAGCTTTTGAAATAAAAGTCGATGAGGAAATTGTCCTCTGTATAACGAAGTCTTCCAGGTCTGCATCCATAGCAGACAGGACTGCTGAGAGGGAGGGAGTGGTGGCTGGGGCCAGCAGACCTGCCTGGGATTCTGACTTCACCCCCAGGCAGCTGAGTGATCTTAGGAAAGTTCCTTCATCTCTTTGAGTTTCAATTTCCTCAGTCATAAAAATTAAGTGTTGAACTGGTAACTCAAAGAAGTTCTAACATTCTGAGACTTTATGTTTTCAAGAACTAAAATCTTTTGAACTAGAAAATGTGAAATTATCTACTCTTAAGAAAAGGAGGAAGTTACAGAAAAGAAAAGCCTTTGGTAAATAAAATAAGACAGGATACTCTCCACCCTGTAGAGCAGGAAGTCAAAATTGTTCTCATTTGAAAAATCAAAAAGAAAAAAACACCCCACAGTGAAATCACAACAGAAGCAAAAATCCTTGGCAGTGCTTCTCCCTGTTTCTAAGGTGGGGTGGACTTTTTTCAGAAAACAGAGTGGTCAAGGAGGTCTTTGCTAGTTTGGATTCTTACGCTGCCTCCCCAGTCTTGTTTTCAAGTTGGGTGATAAAAATGAGATTTTGTTATCTGGCTAAGTGACTCATTTGCTTTAAAAATAAAAATCCATTTTGCACAGGAAAAGATGAGAGTGTTTGTAATTGTCTGAGGAATGAAAAGCTGAATGAAAAAGCAAGGACCCAATTTATGGATGGTGAGAAAATATGGACACCAACATTACTGTTAAGAAATCACTTGGTAGTGAAGGGAGTGAGGAAGAGAACGAGACACAGGACCAGGAGTGAAGGAGACTTAGGTTGCCAGGATGTGAGCAAGGCCATGTGTTGGGAAGGCTGAGTTAGCCAAGACAGAGGTTAGAAACATATGGATGGGAAAATAAGAACAAAATAGACATGGGAGGACTCCAGGGAAGATAGTCAGTCGCTGTCCTGAAGATGGGGATTAGCCTCTTCTCTCAACACGCAAAGTATCAAGCTGACACACAGCAATGTGCACAGGTCAAAGCTCAGAGTCCATTAAGGGATAGCAAAGGGGTGATGAGGTAGGGATCTTGGAAAGATTCATGAACAGATGGTGTTCAGCCAATCGGAAGCCAGCTATGTTCTCAGCAAAGACCATCCCTCAAGCCACAAACTCTGTGTGGACCCCAAGAGTGGTTTCTCTCAAAATCTCTCCATCTTTTTTTTTTTTTTTTTGGTACTGGAGATCAAACTCCGGTCTTTGCGCTTGTGCAGCAGGCAGCGAAACCACTGAGCTAAATCCCCGAAGATCTTTTCTGTTTGTCTTTAGAATTTTTTTTTTTCAGTTAATGCACTTGTATTTTTCTTTTTTGTTTTTGTTTTTGTTTTTTGGTACTGGGGATCGAACTCGGGACCTTGCACTTGGGGGGCAGGCGCCAGAACCACTGAGCTAAATCCCCAGCCCTCAAAATCTCTCCATCTTAAGGACTCCTGTAGACATTCCTGAACAAAGACTGAATTTCCAGAGCTACTTCTTAGTTCCAACAGGGAACTCAGATCCTGTGGCTTGACAATGTAGATCCAGACAACTTTACAGCCTGGGAAGGCTGCTTCTTCCAAGAGCACACAGAGCTCGTGGGTATTCTGCAACCCAAGATTACTCTCTCCACAGGGGCAGGCTGCGGTTTGAAAAGCAATGTTCTCTTAAGATTCTGTTTAGGGTTATATCACTACACGAGTCTTGAATTTGGGAAAATCGATTCTTTTGCTTTGAAAGTTTTAGGCCTTTGTCATTTTTACCTATATGCAATTTTTTTTGAGAATCAAAATGAGGTAGGCACATATATATTTCAGTGAAAACTGGGAATCTCTCAGTGGTCTACCTAGTGCTTGTGATAAGAACCTTTTCCTCCCATCTTGATTTAGCTTCCTTATGACACGGACCAAAGCAGGAATTGGAAATTATTCCTTCCAGGATTCCTGGTGCCTGAAACAGTGCCTGGCATACACAGTCAAGCAATATGAGAGGTTAAATTAATGACTAAATTAAAGACAAATTCATGAGTGGAATAGGATGTATCTAATCACTTTTCCAATAAGTGTTTAACCTTTGTTTTAAACATCTTATATCAGTTTGATAATTCGGTTTTGTTTTGGGGGTTTTTTTGGTACCAGGGATCGAACTCGGGTCCTTGCGCTTGCGAGGCAGGCGGCAAAACCACTGAGCTAAATCCCCGGCCCGATAATTCAGCTTTTAATGAGTTTGATAATTTAGTTTTCTTCTGTTACACTAATAACTAAAGGATAATTCACAAAGAGAGTTGAATGTTAACAGATAGTAAAGGACAATCTAAAAGAGACCATTTTTATTGGGAATATTCATTTTCCATGAGTTTTTCTGGTGACAGATGTATGAACCAAAGAAATGTCAGCACAGATATAAAAAAGGATAATGTCTCCCATAAAAGCATTTTCTAGTTAGATTGTAAAAATACATAGGAATGCAAATTCATTTAGAAATAAATTCTTAAGCACTTCAAATGGATTGTAATAGAAGCAGGAATAAAGGAGTGATTACTCTAAGTTCTTGAAAAGAGAGTCACACCATGTGTAGATGAAATAACATTTTGTTAATGACATCAAGAGGCCAGGAAGCCCAGACAGTCACCAGAAGAATACTATTCACGTCAAATGACTTGATTTTCTTTTGTGCAGCAAAATTCGTCAGATGTATTTGCCAAACCCAAATATTTAAACTCCTTCCATCCACTGAAAGACAAAGGTGAGTTACAATAAACACGAGTGCTATACAAGATGGGAAGAGGGCAAATAAATACAGGACAGGAATAAAATTCAGTGACAACTCCTAAAAAATTCCAGGTGAGAAGTGTGACCATGTTAGCCCACTGTGGCTCCAGAGTTTACCTGGACTGTGCTCAAGGACAACAGTGTCAGAGCCTGGTGCTTTGAGGGTAGTGGGTGTCATTATGCAACTTCAGCCCAGCTAAGTTAGAAGACTTGGTCTACGTTTGTGGCATTGGTCATCCAGGTATGGGTGGAGGAAGATGGTTACCATCAATACCAGTCCTGTCCTTACTGCTGCCATGTGCTGTGTCCCGGAGGAGGGAGGGGCCACACCTGCTAAAGGTGGAAGACCATTGTCCCCATAGGTCCCATGTTCCTGTATTGGAGGATACTGGACTCCATGCTGTTCAGCTACTGGAAGGCCAGTATTTAAACACTGGGAACAGTCACAGTCCCCTTAGAGGGAAGGGTGGCGTGTGGGAGGGGAGGAGGACACATTACATGGCCAGTTAGATCGAAGTTATAACTAAGAGCCCAAGGCCCATTTCACATTGGATTATGTGAACATCATCATGAAGATTGGGAAATGGGCAATCCCATCAAAATCATTTAAATTTCACATAAAGTTTAGGTGCTTGGAGAATGTGCTCATCCAGAACTCTTCAGCCCTGCTGTCTCTGCCACCAAACAACCTGGGTGCCTTTTATACATCTCTTTACCTTTCTAGACGTGTGTTCCTTGTTAGTAAAATGAAAATCTAGGAGATCACTAAGGTTCCTTCCAGTGAAAACAAGCTGTGATACTACATCTACTTTATCTCACTTCCCAGCAACTTCTGAAAATCACAGTATTTCATCTCCAACTAGTGATGCCTGGCAAATGCCAGTTTCTATGGTATCAATGAAATGCTGTCCCTTTCGACCAACCACACGATATATCTTGGCCTCACGTCTCCTAAATTTATCCCCGGTTGTAAGAAAGTCCATAGGATGATTTTCATTTTGGTCTCATGCTTGATTCCAACATAGTGACAATAATTCTTATCTTCCTTCTCCCCCTCAGGCAAGTATACACTTTCTCATACTGGAGATTCTTCCAGCAACATCACGTTAACTCAGTTTCTATCAACCGAGTAAGGCCAGGAATCATAAAATCAAAGAACACTGTTTGGAGCAACTTGACATTTAGAGGTAAATGTCAGAGAAGAAAGTATACTTCATATCAGATGAGATATTCTGACCCAGGAGCAGAACAAGGTGGTCACAGCAGCTTTATCATTGCCTCCTTTATCTTGAATTCATGGAAGATTTATTTCAATGTGGTTTGAGTGTAACACATTGCACCCTAAATGCAAAAGAATTGGTTTTGATGGAAATCTTGTCAGTTGCTCCTTCTTCTCATGACCACAAGATGTGCTTTCCTTTTTCATAAAATGACCTTGTCCACACAGCCTTTCCAATCATGGACTGGAATAAGGAAACTTCACAAGCTCACCTTCAGTGACTGAGTTGACTTTCTTTTCAAAAGGTTCTCAGTGCGTATTTCCTAAAGAAAAGGCATTTTCCTTCCAAATTTTCCAGTTGGACTTTATGCTTCTTTTTTTTTTTTTTTTTTTTTTTTTTCTTCATGGGTTCAATCCCTTCACTTTGAAAGTTAAGCTGAGGTAAAATAAAAATTTCCATTTCGATAGCTTTGTAGCCATTTATGAGGAAGGACAATAATGTGATTTGATGTGAAACGGAGCATTTTACAGTTTACAGTGTATTTTCACGTGGTCTCCAACCCAGAAACTGAAGTGACCAGGTGGAATTTGGGCAGAGATAAGGAAAGTGAAGTCATTCACCAAAGCAAAGCCAGTACAGCAGAATCAGGGTTACTTTAGGACTTGGGTCCTAGCACATGCCTGCAGCTCCATGACAGCCTCGAATGCTGTATACAACCCTAAGAAATCTTTATGAGATTCGATGCATGGTTTATTGTTGGTTCCCCTGATTCTATCTATGTGAGAGGGGAGTGGAAGGACAGTTTGGTTATCAGCTTCCAGGGTTGTGCCTGCAACATCTCGATTGTCTCTGTCACACCTGAAGATGCTTTTTGGAAGTTATTTGCATATATAGCCAGAGCTGCTTTAGGACGAGGGACAGAGCAGCAAGTGAGGGAATGCTAAGAAGCTGCACTTGCCTCCCATAACTCTGTCACTTTGAGCTCAACCCAGCATCAGCCCTCACTTTAGTGCCTAGAAGATCCAAGCTTCAGAGTCCACTGCCTGTTTTGAAAGCTACTGTGCTAAGAGTGTCCGTTAGTTTCTAACACTCAAAGCCTTCACGATAGGCAGATAAAGATACTGCAGGGAACTTCTACTAATGGGCATGGGTTAAACAAGCACATGTAGAGAAAATTTGAGTTCAAATTTCCGCAAAGCACCAAGGAGCAGCATGGATGAAATGTCAAGTGAGATGTCCCATGAATGTATCCAAGAACCAGAAGAGAATTTAATGAGAAAGGTAGCCTCGGACACAGCTGCTCTGCAAGCCTCCTCATCCCATCTTCTATGGTGACAGAAGGGGGATGCCTGACCCACCGCCAGCATGGGGAAAGGACCTTATCATCGCCTTCTACGGAACCCAGCACATGGAGTGCGTGCGTGGCTGCTAATCGACTGTTCAGGGAAGGTGTGGGCTGAGGCCCCCTTTAGGGTCATTAGCCCAGCCCTGGCCAGATGGGATCACCTGGCAGGCACTGGGGACAAAAGAGGAGGTCCTGGGTGGCCACCAGCACCACGGAGTCAGGGCTGGGCGGGACCTTTGAGTTTTTCTTGTGAGCACAGTCTGTGAGTGCACAGGTGGTAAACTGAAATGCAGAGACTGCAGGGCTGAGCAGGCCCAGGCTTCCTCAGGAGCCCAGACCCAGCAGGGAGCCTGCACACCACCTCCCAGAGCCAGGCCAGGAAGGGAGCCTGGCACGTTGGCCAGGGCAAAGCCAGCTGTGTACCCCACAGGGGATGGGAGGGGAGGATCCAGGAAAGGAGGGAGAAGGAGCTCCCTGTGAGTGAGAGGAGACCCAGGGCCATCCTGTCCCGGGGTGCAGGGGAGCTTGTCCAGGGATCCAAGTGCTCAGCACAGACTCAAGGAGGTCAGCACTGCCGACTCAGGGCCAGGCCCCACATGACCCTGGGGTCTGAAATTTGGGGTCTGGACCCTAAAGGGCCTCAGAGTAGAAATCCCGCTGAACACATACGATGGAACCGCGTGTGACTTTGCATGGCCCTACATGAGCCTTCTCAGCTCTTTTAGGAAGCTATTTTAGGAAGATTCATTTTCTGTTTCTCAGCTGCTTCCAGAACAAACAAAAAGTCTGAGAAGCAGTCACTCTGCAGCACCCAGAGTTGTTCTCACATGATATGAATTCTGGGAAAAGCCCCAGTGTCTTCCTGCCAAGGAGTTCTTGTGTGGAGGAAGAGGAGGCGGTGGAGCTGAGCTGCACTTACCTGTATCCAGCTACAGGTGGCAGCCTCTGACCAGGAAGCAGATGCTGGCCAGCCGGCTTGGTGCTCAGACACCCGAGGACCACTGGAAATCGGGTGTGAAAAGCATTTTCATCCCACTACCCTAATTAGGAGCCATTTGATGGTTGCTGCTGTGCTGTGTATAATAAAAGAGATTAGGAAGCTAATAACATAATAGCCCTGCTTCCTGGTGCACAGGCCTGTTTCCTGGGTTTCAGCTCAGGGTGCTGATAAACAGTCTACTCGGCTTCCAGGCAAAGCAGGAATTAGCCGTGGTCAGCAGCAATTTCCACCTGCTGGAAGACTAACACACCTGTCTTATATTTCAGTGGCATTAGTGGCATATATACCTTGGCACCTTGAGCAAGTGCAGGGTTAACTCAAGTAAAACAGGTTCAGATATCTTATGCTTTTTGAATTCACCTCTTTTCTCTTTGAAAAATTTATACAGGTGTCAGGCTTGCATCACACTTCTGGGGATGAGTGACCCTGTTCTCTCTCTCTCTCTCTCTCTCTCTCTCTCTCTCTCTCTCTCTCTC